TTCATGTATTTAAAGGTAATTTGTATTTTTATGTTAATCTGTTGAATTTTCTCTTCCCTACTTCTAGAAACTGTTTATAAATTAGGAAGATTAAGCTTTTGTCTGAGTTATAAATATTTCCAACTTGTTGCCTTTTAAAACTTACAGATATATTTTTTCATTTTTATGTAATTTATTGATCTTTTCTTTCAAGACTTTCAAATCCATTTGAATTTGGTATCAGATTGTCCAATTGTAGGAGGTGGGGGTGAGGTGGGAGGGATCCTATAGGTATTGTTAATGAGATTACATTGAATTCATAAATCAACTTGGGGAGAACTGACCTTTATACATTAAATCTTCCCACCTAAGAACATGATGTTTCTTTTCATTCATTCAAATCTGCTTCTGTGTCCTTTAGAAGTGTTTTAAGGTTTTCCTAATAATTTTTGCACATTTCTTAAGTTTATTTCTAGGTGTTTAATCTTTTTTGTCCCTATATCTTCTATATGATTATGTTTGCATAGGAAAGCTAATGATTTCCATATACTGTAATATTTTACATTCCAATGCTGTACTGAATGCTCTTGTATTTGCTAAGTTTTCAGACATTCTCTAGAGTTTTCCAGCTACACAATTATAACGGATGTAAACAGATGTACCTTTATCTTTCTCTTAAAATTGTTTTACACCTAACTTCTTTCTCATTTAACTACACTGGCCAAATACCCACAACACAATATTAAATACAGAAATAGTGAGAGTGGGCTTCATTGTTGTATTCCTAATTTTAGTGGGAATGCTTCCCAGTATTTCCTGTTAAGGTGATGCTGGCTGAAAAGATAAGTACCTTATTAAGGATGCAGTCACTAAGTACTACTTTGTTAAGTATTCTTATGAAGCAGGGGTTTGTATTTAGTCAAATACCTTTTCAGTAGCTATGAAAATGATCTTGGATTTTTTTCTTCATTATAAGATGGAATATATTAACAGACTTTCTAGTATTAAATCAGTTTTGCATTCCTGGAATAAATCTTATTTGGTCATAGCAGATTTTAAAAAATTTATTATTATTTTTAAAAATCCTCACCTGAGGATATTTTTTGCACTGATTTTAGACACAGTGGAAGGAAGGGAGGAGAGAGGGAGAGAAAAAGAGACACACATTGATTGCCTCCCACACACGCCCAAACCTGGGATCGAACCGGCAACCAAGGTACCTGCCCTTGACTGGAAATCAAACATGTGACCCTTCAGTCCCAGGGCTGATGCTGTAACCACTGAACACCAGGTAGGGCTGGTCACAGCAGTTTTTATCAGGCTGTGGTATCTTTGTTACACTAATTTCATAAAAATAATTTGAACACTTTTTTTCTGTACTCGAATTTTTCATAGCATTTGAATTGTCTAGCTTTTAAGAATTCACAAGAATTTTCTGTGAAACTGGTCCTTTTTCTTTGATGGGGGGCTAGTTTTTGAAAATTTCAATTTGTTCAGATAAATTAGTTTATTTTTTAAAATCTTTCTTATTCTATTTTTTAACTTACTGATTTCTAATTTAGTATTTATTAATACTTTGTTTTCCTTTATCTTGTTGTTTTCCTAACTCTGAGTCATAGGCTTAATTACTTTATTTTTTTTTACATGTTTTTACAGCCATAAACATTCTTTTGAGTACCACTTTAGGCTATATACCACTGATGGCGAACCTTTTGAGCTCGACGTGTCAGCATTTTCAAAAACCCTAACTTAACTCTGGTGCCGTGTCACATATAGAAATTTTTTGATATTTGCAACCATAGTAAAACAAAGATTTATATTTTTGATGTTTACTTTATATATTTAAATGCCATTTAACAAAAATCAACCAAAAAAATGAGTTCGCGTGTCACCTCTGACACGCGTGTCACAAGTTCGCCATCACTGCTATATACTATAGATTGTGACACATTGTTTTCTGGAAAAATTATGTAACTTTAACTTGTATTTCCCCTTTGACTCAGGTAATTTAATAGTTTTTAAAATTTCCAAGTGGAACTTTTCCCCCTGATTTCATTATTAATTTCTAGTTGTACTGGGTAGATCCTATTGTGTTATTTCTACTCTGGAATCCACTGAGTTTTTCTTTGTTGCAGGGAATAGAGTCAGTTTGCATCAATCTTGTAAAAATATGTTCTCTTACCACAGTAGAAGTAGATATAACTTAACTATAAGATCTCACTGAGAATTTAAGTGTTCTACATTTGTTTTCATGTTCACTTGGATAGAGACACACATTCTATTCTCCTCTATTGACAACTCTTCTTTGATTCCTGCCCCCGCCCCCGTTCATTCCCTTGCACTTTTCCCTTTGCAAATTGACCAAATGCTACAATTTCTAACTGTATGCTGATGACTCCCAAATCTCTACGTCTACATCTGACCCCCAATCCCCAATGTCCAAGTGCCCAGAGGATAATCTCATTTTATTTCCTGCTATGGAAATACAACCCATCTTCTTCCAAACTCTGCTCCTGGGTCCAAATCCTATCTCAACCTTGTCATCTCCTATAGTTATAATGGTTTCACACTGCTTATCTTTTTATGTGAATGACTTATCTTACAAAACAAATTGGAAAGTCCTGGAAGGCAGGACTGGAGTAATATGTATCTTTTTAATCAACTCCAGAACACAACCCTACCTGAGGAAAAAAAATAAGGGGCATTTACTAAATATTGGTGAACGACTTAAGCATTTTCTTTTTTTTCTTTCTTTCTTTTTTTTTTTTAGACAGAGTTGAAGGGAGGGGGACAGGGAGAGAAAGGAGAGAAACTGATGTGAGAGAGAGACATCGATTGGCTCCCTCCCGCATGTGCCCTGACAGGGTCTGGAACTGAACCTGTAACTCAGGTCCGTGCCCTTGAACGGGGCTCAAACCCAAGACCCTTCAGTGCGTGGCTGATGCTCTAACCACTGAGAAACATTGGCCAGGGTGACTTAAATGTTTTTAAAAATCATATGTATATCTTTGCTATTTATTGTTTGACTCCAAGCTTACGTAGTCAAGGGAGGGGAGAGTGAGCATTGGGTCTCTAGGCCTCAAGGTGCATGGCCAAAGTATTCCTGGTGTTGGCAACATAACCACCAACCTGTCACCCAAAATAAATGCTAGCTTTGCCCAAGAGTCAGGAAAAACTCATATAATAAATCTTTTTTTTTTTTTAAAGATATTTCATTGATTTTTCACAGAGAGGAAGGGAGAGGGACAGAGAGCCAGAAACATCGATGAGAGAGAAACATCGACCAGCCGCCTCCTGCACATCCCCCACTGGGGATGCGCCCGCAACCAACGCACGTGCCCCTGACCGGAATCGAACCCGGGACCCCCCAGCCCGCAGGCCGACGCTCCATCCACTGAGCCAAACCGGCTTCGGCAGCATATAATAAATCTTATCTGCTTATACTTTTTCCTAAAATAAAGAAAACAGAACAATCTGTAGGAAATTAACCTGGCCCACTACCCTGACCATATGTGTAAGAAAACCAGAGTTTAATAGTCATGGATTTTTGTCACCCTAGGCAACGCACACCTACTCTCTGCTCAACTTCAGCCTCAGAACAAACAGCCCTGAAATCAAGTAAAAGTATTAGGCACTCAGCAAAATGATTTTTGAAGGCCCCTGACTCTATGACAGAGGTGGGGAACCTTTTATCTGCCAAGGGCCATTTGGATATTTACAACATCATTTGCTTAATATGATTCACTTAATATAAATTTATGTTGCTATGAAAAAAAGCTCCTAGATTTATTGAATTTCAAGTCCCGCCTACGGTTGCCTTGGCAGGGCCAGACCAAATGACTTCTCGGGCCTTACACGGCTCTCGGGACTCACCCTTGCTCTCCAGTAACAGTGTCCTTCTAGAGAAAAGCTGAAGCACCTCTAAGGTTAAGCTGCTGCCAGATGAGTGAATATGTATCACTGAGGATACCTGTTAACCATTACTGGAAAATGAGTACAAATGAAGGGCCCTTCACCAACCATATAGAAAATACACTGACAAAATTATGAGACATTCAGCAAGGAGACAGTACAGCTCTGGGTCAAGGCTGTAAGGTCTGATGTTAAATTCCCAGAGTCCAAATCTCTGCTTCACTATCTACTGCTGTGTGACCTTTAGCAAGTAGCTTTTCTCTGCTCCTGTTTCATCATCTGTAAAATGGTAATAACTCCTATACCCCACAGTACAGTTGTGAGAATTACAAGAGATAATAAATGCATACAAAGTACTTAGACTAGTGCCTAGCACATAGGTACACAAGTGCTTAATAAGCAGATATTATTTCCATCAATAGTTGGATATATTTTCTTTTACACTAGTAGGTTTCACAGCTATTGACCTTCAATGTGTCATGTGTCCAATGAAAACACAAATTTAAAATATACCTGTTGGGCCCTAGCCGGTTTGGCTCAGGGGATAGAATATCGGCCTGGGACTATAGAGTCCTGGGTTAGATTTCGGTCAAGGGCATGTAGTTGCGGGCTTTGATCCTCAGCCCTGGTCGGGGCCATACAGGAGGCAACCAATAGATGTGTCTCTTTTCACACCAATGTTTCTCTATCTCTCCCTCTCCCTTCCACTCTCTCTAAAAACCAATGGAAAAATATCCTCAGGTGAGGATTAACATACATACATACATAAATAAATAAATAAAATATACCTGTTGGGAAATAGCACTGGATCTAAAAAATAGATTCAGAAAGTCTGCCCACATTTTCTATCTGTTTGAATGCTTGATGTTAATACATCAGCTGTAGTCCTTGCTTACCAAGAGAGATACCTTCTGCCTTTGCTGCCCCCAAGATATAGGGAAAATGGCCACCCAGAGCTGAAACAGGCTCTGGCTCATGGGACAAGACAAAAATTAAACGCATGTGCTTAGCTGGTATGAATGGTGTCTCGAAAAAGTCTGAGATGAAGTAGAAGAACATGATTTTCCCATAGCATTCAATCTGAATACACAAGGGACTTGATTTCTTACCCATTAACATCATCTCCCCAATACTGTCTTCTTCCTTCTCTGAGGTGGGCTCCTGCATAGGATCCAAGTTCACACATTCTTCTTGGGAGTGAAATACATTCAAATCCTCAAAAACCACCAGATCCTGAAAGAGCAACAGGCCCCCCTTCCTCTTAGTAACAGAGGTTCCTTGACAGCCCTGTTGATAAGAAATACTGAGACCCAATGACAAGGGAAGGGATTTATAAGTCTCAGAGACGCATCCAGTCAGGAAAGGAGCCAGAAGACAAGCAGAAGAAAAAGATCTAAGGAGAAATTGAAGAACAAGCCCCATTCTCCCTGCTGACTTTCGAGAATATGTTTTTATATAAAGATTGGCTGAGGTGGGAGGGATAGCAAGAGCAGTGGGGCCCGGTCATTGAGACTCGACCCATGAACCAGGAAGTCACTGGTTAGATTCCTGATCAGGGCACATGCCTAGGTTGTGGGCTGAATCCCCACCCAGTAGGCGGAGCGCAGGAGGAAGCCGATCAATGTTTTTATCTCTCCATCCCTCTCCCTTCCTCTCTCTCTAAAATCAACAAAAACATATTTAAAAGGAAGAGCAGAGAAGGTGATACACTCAAACAATGAGTGGGAAACCATACCCACCTCAGAATCAGCTTTCAAGCACACAGATACTGTCTCCTGTTCCTGCTGGATTCCTTCTTTGCTCAGAAAGTTCGCTAGGGGACCAGGTTGCACTGGGAAAAGAGAAAACTGCAGTTAGTGGAAAAGTCAGTCAGTCTAATATGGAGACCCTACCCACACCCTAAGGTCAGGTTGTCTTCGCTCCTTTGGCAGGCAACTCATGGCCTTTTCTGGTCCTGTGAGCCCGGTCAGAGATCGAGCCATAAATCACAGTGTCTGGAACCTATTATATAGGGTCTCCTCATTATGAAAAGAATGATTTCCCCTAAGTACCTTTTAAAATTCCCACAACTACTAAAGAGGGGGTTGGGAGAAGGGAAAGTATGAAGAACCCCATAGCAAGCACAAAATTTCCAAAACACCACATAAACTAAAATCAATTCATTCATTCATTCACATTTATTTATCTTAAAAAGATATTGCCACCCTAGCTGGTTAGGCTCAGTGGATAGAGCGTCAGCCTGAGGACCAAAGGGTCTGGGGTTCAATTCCGGTCAAGGGCACGTACCTCGGTTGTAGGCTCCCTCCTCGGCACGGGCCCTGGTCAGGGCACATGCAGGAGGCAACCAATTGATGTGTTTCTCTCACATCAATGTTTCTCTCTGTCTTCCCCTCTTTTCCCCTCTCTCTAAAAAATCAATGGAAAAATATCCTTGGGTGAGGATTAAAAAAAACAAAACAAAAAAGATATTGCCTACTCCCCTCCCCCAATGGACAATGGACACTATGGAAAAGAGGCACACTGCTTATTCTATGGCCTTACCCACACCCAGCAAACCACTTAAGCTCTAGGTTGAGAAGAATACTCCCTCTCCCCAACGTGTTGACTTATTAAAATCAACTACTTTCCGCCCTAACTGGTCTGGCTCAGTGGATAGAGTGTCAGCCTGCAGACTGAAGGGTCCCGGGTTCGATTCCAATCAAGGGCATGTACCTTGGTTGCAGACTCATCCCCAGTAGGGAGTGTGCAGGAGGCAGCTGATCGATGTTTCTCTCTCATCAATGTTTCTCTCTCATCGATGTTTCTAACTCTCTATCCCTCTCCCTCCCTCTTTGTAAAAAAATCAATAAAATATACTTTTAAAAAAATCAACTACTTTCCTCAATATTCATCATCCTAACTGGGAGTCCTTACTAGCAGGGAAAGACTAGCTCAGCCCCTGAGTGCCCCCCGCTTCTCTTCCAGGGAAACAGAAGTGTCCTTACCTCTGTTCTGAAAGTTTGAGCTCACATCTTTCATGATCACCAAGGTCTCTTTGGCATTCTGATCGGGCTGGGGGAGTCCTGGCTTGGGCAAGAAGGTGAGGAAGTGCTCCAGAACCAGCTGGTGGATGGTCTTGGGCCTGTTGGTAGCATCTTGAAGTAGGTCTTGGCCTAGCTTGGAGTTTGGAGGCACTCTCAGGATAAAGGACTGCTTTGGCTTCGGAGGCATCGCAAACACTTTTGCAGCCATCGCGCCTTGAAATCACGCACCACACTCGCTAGGGGAGAGCTTCAAAAGCCACCTCTCCCTGGAGAAAACCTGCCAGAAAGTTGCAGACAAGAGGTACCCTCGGTTACCCACAAGATCAGGCAGGGTATGTCCTACCCGAGTGGCTTGGGTAGTGACACCACAGGAGATCTAAGTCGGGAAAGAAAGCTAAACTGGGGCAGGGAATTCATAGCTGAAATGGATTCTCCTGCAAGGAAGACCCTGAGAATGAGAGCTAGAGGATGTCCAACCTGCAGGGACCAAATGGAAGGGAGCAAAGGCAGCCGACAGAAGACCAAGGGCCATTACCCTAAGAAATACAAGTGCAAATCCCCCTGGGAGTAGTTAACTCATGCTGGTGGAGCAATGGGGCTAGAACAGCGGTCGCCAACCGGTGGCCCGCGAGGTCCGAGAAAGGTTGGCGACCGCTGGGCTAGAAGACAGGAAACCTGGGGGCCAATACCGAGGGGTGTTTGTATAGAAGTCCATCAGCTTTGGCCTGAATCTGAGCGCAGAGCCCTCGGATACCTTTCGAGGGGCCGCTGGTGGCTCGGGAAGAAAACGCAAGGCCGCCGGAGGTGCCCCCTTTATGCGGAGAGCGCTCTGCTGAAGGCGGCAAGGGACATCCCAGCAGGACCCCCAGTCCTAGCCCACGCTAGACCCTCTTCCATCGGTCGGGGGCTACCTTTAGCGCGCAACCCGGCCGGGGCGTTGCCTGGGGCCAGCTCCAGGCTCCCTATCCAGCCAAGCTCCTCCAACAACGGGCCACCATCCGCTCCCCAGAGGTTGCCTCCAGCCTGGTTCCCGCCCTCGCGGAGCACCTCACCTTTCGGAGGCTCTGCCACCCCTGGGCGCTCGCTGAGGGCAGCCCGGAGACCCAGGCTCGAGGAGAGACCGGGAAACTAGGCGCGAGAAGCCGAGCCCTCCCCTCGCCCTTGGGAGTGTCCTCACAATCTGCCCGAGACTATTGGTGCGCCGATACGTCAATTAGGAAAGACGGCAGGACGCGGTTCCTTCTGGGAGTCGGGGCACCTCACCATCTGTGATGTCACGCCCGGTGCCTCGTTTCCGGTGCGATAACCTGGTCTCCCTACTCGGAGCGGGCAGTCTGCAGTTGAGGCGAGGCTCGAAGCAGACCGGCGGAGCTCACAGGGCTGGAGGGAGGCCAGACTGGAGACAGCCGCTTTCTCTGTGTCCCTACCTGGAAGACGGAAAGCAGAAGGCTAGCTCCAGTCCTCCATGACCGGCTAGCACCCCTCCAGGTACGGGCTAACTCTAGGAGCTGCTGGGAAATGTAGTTCAATTCTAATCAGCCAATGGGAGGTCTCCAAGCGCGGCGGGTGGGACGGAGCTGAGCCGTGGCTAGACCGGAAGCGAGTTGTCTCTGGGACCGGAAGGTTTGTTCGCGGCACCGCAGTTGCCGTGCAGCATCCAGGGTGAGCCAAAGGTTTACGGGGGTGGGAAGTGAGTGGCGGTTCAGGGCTCCTACCAGATCCTGGGTCCGTTCACAACTGCCCCTTCTATCAGGGCCGGCCAGGAGGTCAGAGCCTGGCGACCCTTCTCTCCTCTGCTCGCCCACTTCAACACATCTTACTTTGTAAGGAATCCTAATCGTTCTCGGACCATCGCCGTTTCTGCTCTCAATTCCAGTTTCTCACTGACGCCTAACAGCGTCTTTTCTCTTTGCGTTGTTCCCACACACTGATCAGGGCTGGAATAACCCTAGGGATGATCTTATTCCTCTGTGTAACACCGGCCACCAGCAGGATGACGAAAGTAAGAATGTAAATGAATGCCTTTATCATTTACTTATTTATTTACTTACTTCAGAGAGGGGAAGGGAGAGGGAGAGATGGAAACATCAATGATGAGGAAGAATCATCCATGGGTTGCTTCCTGCCCTTCGAGCCCACAACCCGGGCATGTGCCCTGACCAGGAATCAAACCCTGACCTCCTGGTTCATAGGTCGACGCTCAACCAACTGAACCACACCAGCCAGGGCTAGGGCTGAATGTCTTTTCTTAACCCTAACTATAGGTGACTCACTTAGCCATGGTTTAAAATATGTTATAGAGAGACTAGTGTCAAAACTGTAGCACCAAACTTTTTTTAAAATAAAGATTACCTGCCTTTGCAGACATCAGAATTACTAAAAAAACAAAAACAAAAAAAACCCCTCCTTTAATCAAAGCAGTATGGTTTTAACTAAGAGTACATAAATAGAACAGTAGAAGAGAATAGTAAGTGCCAAAATTGATCAGAATATTTGGGAACCTATATGAAAAGGCAGCATTTCAACTTAGTGTAAAATAGATGGTGCTAGCAAAAACTGTTCTGAAAAAGAGTAAGACTCCTGTACTTATACTACATACAAAAAAAATGGAATTTAATCACTAAAAGAACACATAAGAGAACATTAAGTTTAATGATGAAGCAAAACAGGAAACTGCGATGCCTTGAAATAAAATATAAACCATTGTGATAACATAGTTTTTAAAAACTATTAGTAATCATCGTTCAAAATTTTTCATTCATTTTAGTTCAGTTTGCAAAAGTAAATCAGCTGACAGTGTGAATCCGATTGTAAAATTTGAAAGTTCAACACAAGATAAAATGATTTATTTTGTGGTAAACATATGGAGACAAGTTTATAATAAACGAAGTTTTATGATAAAACAGAAAAAAATACCCACTATTAATTAAGTCAAACAAGAAATAAGCTGGAAAATCATTGTAAAAAGGCAGATAGCCCTAGCTGGTTTGGCCCAGCGGATAGAGTGTCGGCCTATGTACTGAAGGGTCTTGGGTTCGATTCCGATCAAGGGCATATGCCCAGGTGGCAGGCTCAATCCCCAGTAGGGGGCGTGCAGGAGGCAGCCAATCAATGATTCTCTCTCATCATTGATGTTTCTCTCTCCCTCTCTGAAATCAATAAAAATATATATTTTTTAAAAAAACAGATAAAGAATTAGACATTTCCAACATACAAAGAATACCTACCAACTGACAAAAGATGAAGGCAAAGGCTATGAAGTCATTCCACAGAGCAGGAAAACTAACTGGTCATTAACTATTGAAAAGCTTGTTAGTGCTCTACCTGGTTTGGCTTAGTGGTTAGAGCATCAGCCTGTGGACTGAAAGGTCCCGGGTTTGATTCTAGTCAAGAACACATGTCTGGGTTGCGGGCTCAATCCCCAGTGGGGGAGGGGGGCTGTAGGAGGCAGCCGGTCAGTGATTCTCTCTCATCATTGATGTTTCTATCTATTCCTCTCCCTTCCTCTCTGAAATCAAAAATATATTTAAGAAAAAAGAAAAGCTGGTTAGTCGCTTTGGAAACAGTTTGGCAGTCACTCACATTTTAATATAGAATTGCCATATGATCCAGCAATTCCGTTTCTAGGATAAACCTAAGAGAAGTGAAAACATATATCCACATAAAAGCTCGTACATGAATAGCAGCATTATTTTTTAAAATATATTTTTATTGATTTCTGAGGGGAAGGGAGAGGGAGAAATAGAAACATCAATGATGAAAGAGAATCATTGGTCAGATGCCTTCTGCATGCCCCACACTGAGATTGAGCCCACAACCTGGGCATGTGCCCTGACTGGAATTGAACAGTGATCTCCTGGTTCATAGGTCGACGCTCAACCACTGAGCCATGCCGGCAGGGCTAGCAGCATTATTTTATAATGGCTGAAAAGTAGAAACAACCCAGATGTGTATCAACTAATGGCTGATGAGTGGATAAACAAGGTGTAGTATCTATAATAATAAAAGCATAATATGCTAATTAGACCAGATATCTTTGGGACGAAGCAGGGGCTGCAAGGGAAGCTCGGTCCCGGGTGCCCGCTGGCGGCTGGAGGGAAGCCGGTGCTGACAGCTGGGGGAAGGAAGGCCTACTCTTACACGAATTTCATGCATCGGGCCTCTAGTATCCCTATAATTATTCAGCAATAAAAAAGGAATAAAGTACTGACAATACACTGCAACATGGATTGACCAAGTTACTGATAATGGATTTGTTTTTGGGGTGATGAAATGTGCTGGAGTTAGTGATAATTTTTTGTGCACATTGTGAATTGTACCAAAAACCACTTAATTGTATACTTTATTTTTTTAAAATTTTGTTTTATTGCTTAAAGTATTACAAAGAGTATTATATATGTCTCCTTTTTTCCCCTTCTTGACATTCCCCCGGCTTCCCCTATCCCCCAGTGTCTTATGTCCATTGGTTATGCTTATATGCATGCATACAAGTCCTTTGGTTGATCTCTTACCCCCGCCTCCTGCCCCCCAACCCTCCCCAGCCTTCCCGCTGTAGTTTGATAGTCTGTTCGATGCTGCTCTGCCTCTGAATCTATTTTTGTTCATCAGTTTATAATGGTCTTTATTATCCATAAATGAGTGAGATCATGTGGTATTTTTCTTTCATTGACTGGCTTATTTCACTTAGCATAATGCTCTCCAGTTCCATCCATGCCGTTGCAAATGGTAAGAGTTCCTTCTTTTTACAGCAG